AGAGAGAGAACCAACTTAACAAGTTGCTCTCTGACCTCCACATACATGTATTCACACCCTGTATAAATTTAAAACATACAAAAAAAACATTTGAACCAGAGAATTTATGAGCCTTTGGGTTGATGAAGCACCCCATGCTAGGAACATGATAGACCTCAAATCCACTGACTGGACATCCTTTCTAGATGTTCTCTGCTGTACCAGTTCATCTAGCTATTCACCTGTTCCCTTTATAACAGATTTTAAAGCAACCCAGCAAGAATAAGCAGTGTTTCCTGAGTTATGGCAAATTATTGAAGTTGAGGAGGGAAGGAAGTCCTAGGAACTACTAATTTTTAGCTAGCGGATCAGAAATACCAAAGGCCCAGTCCGGCATTTGATAAGATGAAATCAGTCTTGTGAGCCCTTAACTTGTCAAGTGTGACACTAACTCTGAGTAGTTAGTGTCACACTACTAGGTTAAAGCAGAGTACCCTGTGAGCATCTGGAGGGTTGGAAGACTGGTGTGGGAAGCCCTGCATGTCTCACATCAGGGTTGCTCTAAGGGGCTGTGGGAAGCATGTGGTGCCTGCTTTGGAGAGGTCTGCAGATGGCGAGGGCAGAGGGAGTCCCGGACTGATGCTTTGTGGATGTTGCAGATCTCACATTCAATTGAGTCCACCTAACGTGAATGATGGAGACAGCTTCTCCTCTCTTCCCCATCTCCCATCAGGATTAATCTCAGACAGAATCACAATCAGAGCAAAGAGGGGCATTCACTTGATAGAAACGCTTCACTTGGGCTATGTCTCAACCAAAAGTGCTGTGGAAGTGACAGTCTGAAAAACAGACTTTTATCAGTTTTTCTTCATCATGAAGCAAGATGTTAGAACGGCCTAATCCATTTTCACTAAGAATACGCCATTTCCAAACTTCACCTTCAGAAAAAGAGCTATTACGGTGCTACCTGTCTGTATTTCTGAAAAAAACACCCAGTTACGCTTACTGAGATGGGCGAAAACAGAAAATCATTTTTCTTTAAAACACAGAATTGTACTTTCCTTGAAACCCATCTGGCATGTGTGTCAGGGAGGTTTGGAAGGAGCCAGTATGGGGGTGGGCATAAGGGTGGCTCAGCGGCCATCAGTCATTTCACACTCACGGGGCTGAGACTTTTCATGCTCTCCACAATGGGTCTGTATCCAGTGCAGCGGCATAAATTACCTGGGGGAATGAAAGACACGGTTTCAACTCCAAGGCCATTTCTCTGGGCTTGCTGTAGCTCCCTCATTCATACCGACTCTCTCTTTATATTACCTCCCTTGCCAATCATTTAAAAGGAATCTTTCTGGATTTCACACATATTATTAGGAGTTACTCGGGACCTATTTACGGGGTACACTCTCAAGAGAGGTACAGAACAGAAACTTGGTGGAAGGAAAGGACAGAAAATGCCACTGTAAGGGACACAACTCACATGCCAGAGATGTGCATAGCTTGTGAATATTCACTGCTTAGATCCAGATCGTTTTCCAGGATCCTTGTGTAGAGAAAGTAAGCACAGGGTCTCATTACAGAAACGAGAACTTCTAGCATAACAAGGATATGCCACCTTCTAGAGGGCGCTCCTCTAGATAAGACTTGAGTTCCTAAATCCAGGGTTCTTCCTTGTAACATGACCTATCACACCTGCGGGGGTTACTGGCTCTATCGGAACTGCCTTGTGGGATCTGGGACCCAGGACCTGCTGTGGTGGGTGTGGCTGCTCCAGCCATGCTTACTCTGTTGAGTCACTGACCCAGCTGGAGAATCTCACGTCTCCACCAGCATCCCACAACAGAGGCAGGATAACTTGTTAGCCTGCAAGCAGGGTGAAATCGCAGACCCTTGCAAGTTCTTGAGAACCAGTAGGTGGTGTTAATAATCTCATACTATCAGAGGGACTGACCCGACACAGAGGGGTCATCTCACCTTGCCGAGTCTCTTTCGACCACTGGCTCTCCCTGTTATCGGGTGAGATCATAGACTCTGAGACTGTGATGGCATTTCTGTTCTGTTCTGCATTTTACACAACGTTTTCACAGACTCCTTCAAAACAACAATCAGCATCAGAAGTCCTTGTGACAAAGCATTGTCCCAAAGGTCAAGGCCCACAGACGGGCACACTACACACCACAGAGCAGGCAGTTGTTAATGCTTACAGAAGGACAGGGGCTGCATTAGGAGGAGAGATGACTCGAAACATACATTAATTTTACTCAAATGTATGAAGTAAGTAGAGGAGTCTCTGTCATTTTTCTAGAGAAAATAATAAGAAAAAAAAACAGTCCTGTAAACAAATTCAGACAAGGCGATAAAGGCGTGGGGTCTACATCAATCACCCAGGTTCAAAAGCGGACTCTCCCCCTGGCTAGGTTTAAGGTCTGGGGCAGTAAGTGCACCATTTTGTACCTCAACTTCCTCTTCTGCATAACTGACATGTAGTACGTCTCATGGAATGATACAGAGGACAGAAAGCATTCCAGAAGTTAGCTGTTGTGGCAGTCCTAGATGTAAGAGCACAGACTGAAGGCATACAGAGAATCACTTCAGTCTTGGTGCAATGAGACTTTGGGGGTCTAGCAGGAACCTCTAAAGCCTGGAGAGATGAGACTCGGTAAAACACGTGGCAATGTTACAGAATAAAAACTAACCAAGGCGGCAGGACCTAGGATCATCAAGTACGTATTTGAGAGGAAATCCAAGTTCTCTGAAGAAAGGGTATCAAGACCATTAGGGTGACAACTTATTGAGAGACGCAGGCCTCGGGCTCTGTAGCACATCCCAGGCCACGCTGCTTCCTGCAGGCGATTGTCCTGGTTTACTGTTCCCTTCCCTAACTTGCTATTTTAACCCCGATTCTCTGATTCTTAGCTGCCTGTGACTTTTGAAATCTGCTTGTAGAACCTCAGATTTCAGCAAAATGTCAAGACTCCTATCCTGACGAACCCGGCTTCCCCTTTGACTCAAGGCTCTGCCTGATTATTTCCTTTCAGCACCCCTGCAGCCCTTATGTGGAAACCCTTCATACTGCCAGCACCTTCCTACTAGTTGGGCCCGCATCTGGCTGCTAGAGGGGATGGACCACCCAGGTCACCTGACCCAATGCAAGGTATGGACAGAACCTCTTTTGGAGAAGCTGTAACAGAGGAAGCCACCGCTGAGAAAGCATCCTTTAGTGACCCAAGTTTGAGCGGTTTCACCTCTGCTAAAAAAAGCGGGGGGGGGGGTCTAGGGTAAAGACTTTTTGAGGGTCATGAAAGAGAAACCAGTGTCCAGCAAGGCTGTCAAACTAACCACAAAGACTATGATATGACAATGGCAGGTATTGGGGACAGGATCTCTGAAGGTGAAGACTGCTCAATGTTCTTCCGGGCAGTAGTTGTGAAGAGGCAATTTCAAAGAGTGCGGCACAGTGACAGAGCTCCCTGCCCCATCCCCATACTGGTCAGAAACCACAGATGGAATCGTTGGTACAGGAGCAGGGGAAGCGCTCAGCTGTGGGGCTGGAGAGGACATAACTGGATGTGACAAGATCTGAGGGAGGAGGGCTGTGATCGGGTTGCTTCCCGACCAGCCAAACCAGAAAGGAGAGAAGAAATGCTGAACATCATGAGGTAAAGCAGAGAATGAAAGGCAAAGTGTGGTACAGAGCAGTGTCAGCTCGACTGGACACGAGACCGAGGCAGGTTGTGGAGAAAATACTGTCATCATCATCATCATCATCATCATCAACACGTCAAAAAGAGAACAACTGTAACCGAGTAACATTAAGAGATGCCCGAGAGAAGGCACAGCTGTCTTGTTCTTAAATCACTCACATGTTTCTCACAACAGGAATACCTGGTAACTAAGCATTGGCCGGGCTTTGTTCAAAAAGCCTTGAAGTCTAAGATACATGGAGACTTTAAGAGAACGTGTAGCCTCTTTGAATTTGTTCAAGATGTCAGATGGATCAAGGGAATTAGGTCTCATGGCAGGATGAGCTTGTGAAATTTTGAGCAGCAATCTTTGTGAGACATAACAATAAGCCAACATAGTTCTAGAACATTGGAGACAACCAACCCTTGGCCTGTTTTTTTGTTGTTTTTTTTTTTTTAAAGAAGGGTATTAGGTGAGGTTGACTACTCTTGGCCAGATCTCTGGATCTGTCCTGACAGGGGTTATTTGTGACAGAGCCTAAAAACAGTGTTGTCTCTGAGGAGACGAGGGACTAAGAAAGCTAGCCTTTTCTTCTGGGATAAGAATTCTAGGGTGGATCTGCTTAATTCCACAGACATAGTGCGAGGAGATTTCCCAGGGCATTTGACAAGTTTGGGCTCCTCTGTATCGAGGACAGAAAATGTCAGTGCACGAGACACAATTAAACAGCAGTTCAGTGTTAATGATGTGGATTAATTTTCTCACAAAGCTCTGCTTGACTTATTCTATTCAATAGTTTAGACCATGACTTGCATAAGGACAGAAGGCGATGTTCATCAGATTCGCAAAAACAGAGAAATTAAAAGGGGTCTTGACAGAATGATACGCGCATGTAAGACTTGAGGAGAATAAAATTTTTCGCGAGGACAAAGGAGGAGAAATTACCTTTGAGGTCTCAAGGCATTTCAATGGCATGCATGCTTATGAGTCACCGCATTTTCCTCCTTAATTTCGTAGCGTCTGTGATTTCCTGAGCATCAGTTTTACTCCAGGAATGAATGTGACAGCCCCAGCCACAAACAAAAACAAGCCACAAGGTAGCTGCTCATGTAGGCTAGCTCCAGTCGCCTAATCGCAAGACCCCAACGTCTTAATATTTCCGAATACCATCTCAATAGCATTGAATTTACATCAGTGATGCCCAGACAGTGACTACTTCAGTAAGCATATGGCATGCCAATATGTAACACACTAAAGTCCCTTAGATGATATGTTGCCAAGAATGTCACAGTTCCATGGGGAATGCACTTGACTGTCTCCTGGTTGCCTCAGTCTTCCCTCCTGCTCAGTGGGGATGAATACTTTTCAGCACTGATGAAGTGTAGCTCATAAAGATCAGCATCTAGACCTGTGTCACGTGCTTTGGCTTTCTGGGCATGGAGATGCTCCAGCATCCCCACTACCTGCTGCCTCCTTATCCTACAATTTAAGAAGTCACCACTTACCCCCCAAGGTTTCCATTAACTGTTCTGTGGAGGGTTCTGGATGATCCCTCAGGAGAGCGTAGATGCTCATCACCATGCCTGGAGTGCAGAACCCACACTGGGTACCATGGCCTTTGGCAATCCTTTCCTAAAAACGAAGAGCAGGAACACTCCAGGCTGAGAATTTCAGTCCTCAGAAATGAAATGAACTTCTTTGTCTGGTGAAACTACAGGCAGGTGCAGGCCCTGTCGCAGAGCGTAAGAGCCAAAGTCAACCTGTAAGCCTCACTTGCCTGAGGACCAGGTAACTTCCTGGAATGCCGGGAGTTGTAGTTTTTGGAAAATAACAAAGCCACGTGGGAAATACAGTGTCCTTATGGTTTTGCCCTTAAGAAGCCCTATAACATGTGTCTCATGGCCATTCACTGGGAACTGGTTTTAGTTAAAGTTTGCTTCAAATTTGGCTCAGAATTGTGGAGCTGGTTTTTTTGTCGTGAGTCTCAGGACTAACAATAGGAACCACGAACATTGCAATTGTTCATATTTACAACACCAGGGGAGGTTTTTTGGGGAAGGTCCCATTGAAGTGTCTGGAAGGGAGTTCTCCATGTTAACCCAGTGCCTTCCACCAAGACCACTTTTATTTCCGTACTCCCTCATTGTGGTACCACACAGGCAACCCTTCTATCCTCAGTCATTCCAAATTTAATTTAAACTGGAGATTTGTTGTCAAGGACTACCTCCATGAAGGGAAATCCATCTTTTCTACCTCTTGCCTTTTGGGTTAACTTTAGTAATTTGCCGTGGATATCGCTCTCTATGCTGTGAATGTGTGTTGCTCTGATTGGTTAATAAATAAAATGCTGCTTGGCCAGTAGCCAGGCAGGAAGTATAGGCGGGACAAGCAGAGAAGAGAATTCTGGGAAGAGCCAGACACAGAAGAGGAAGCAAGATATGAAGGCAGAACTGAGAAAAGGTACCAAGCCACGTGGCTAAACATAAATAAGAACTATGGGTTAGTTTATATGTAAGAGCTAGTCAGTGGTAGGCCTGAGCTAATGGCCAAGCAGTTTTAATTAATATAAGCCTCTGTGTGTTTACTTGGGTCCAAGCGGCTGCAGGACTGGTGGGTGAGAGAGATTTGTCCTGACCATGGCCAGGTGGGACACAGGAAAACTTCAGCTACCGTACTTACCTAAAGTTTTGTTCACATTTGGATAGTTTTACTAAGAAATATTTACTGCATGAACTGAAAGATTCTGTAAATACTTGGCCCGGAGACTGATAATACTCAGTTGTGTGCTTCTGATGGGAAGGGTCCCTTAGAGGCAGGAGGACAAGCAGGCCTGTGATTTGGTAGTCTGCCAATCATCTCTTGAAAAAGCAATGATCTCATTTGTGTGTGTGTGTGTGTGTGTGTGTGTGTGTGTGTGTGTGTGTGTGTGTGTATACAGACACATGTGTGTGTGTGGAGGACAGATGTTAATGGCAAGGGTCATCCTCATTGTCTACCACTTCACTGAACCCAGACCTCATGAATTCAACTAGAGCGTTTGGCCAGCAAGCCTCAGGAATCCTCCTGTCTCCGCCTCCCTAGTGCTGGGACCTGAGGCGAGTGCCATTGGACTCGGCTTTTTATATGAGTACTGGGGCTAGAACACAGGTCCTCACGCTGTAGGCAGGCACTTTATTGGTTAGACCATCTTCCCAGCCCTGCTGATAGTCTTTATGGAATATATTTTTTGTGTGTACCTTGGAAAGGTATTTTTCAGGCTAAGGTGAAAATCCTGGTTCTGGAAGAGTTTATGACTTAATTTTGGGGCTGCTTAGCACACACAACCTTCATAGGAGACTGTCACAGCATAAGTGCTAAGTGCAAATATGTAGGCCACAATATTAGTCTTTCTGACTAGAATCAGCAGCATGGCTATTTACACATTTACCAAAGAGAGTACACGTCCTAGTTTGTCTCATTTTCTTGTCTAGACAAAGATACATGGGAGTCGTCTCCTTTGTAGTCTTTGTGGTAAAAAACCAAAAGATTTCCAGAAAGTGGTGGGGCCGCTGAGGCTGTGAGACAATGGAAGGCA